TGCATCAATAAGGCATCTCCACTACAATAATCGTGATGATTTTTTGGTTACAAATCTTCAAAAAAAAACTCGGTTTCAAATTAAATTATTGTTTGTATTTCAGGTTACTACAGRGTGGCATACGATGACGCTCTATTAGATAGGATATCTTACGAGATAAGTAACGGCAAATCGTTTGACGAGTACACCGTGGCACAGTTGGTTGGAGATATTTTTGAAGGAGCTTTTTCCGATGTTATCGGATTCAGTTATGCCTTAGGATTTCTAGAAAGAGTTATCCAAAAAGCYGGCCTGAATCCCGGATACTGGCACGCCATTTATAATGCATTCAATAAAATAGAGATGGTGTTGCACAACACTAAACATTACGATTCTCTTTCRGTATGTATGCAATAATATTATATTCATGCGCAACGATGAGATCCCTTATAATACGTCATTAAGATTTGGTGGTTAATAAGCTGTTTACTATAAATGGTAGTTTCGCAGTAAACAAAATAAGCCCTACTAGAACCGTTTAAATTCTAATGTACCTATATTGATTTGCGTTTAAGAACGTTAATACAATTATATAGTAAGTTATTTTTATCTGAATTATTAATTACATTGATTATTAGTTATTATACAACTTCAAATAATTAGACCATATCATAAAAGTCTTGAAAAACGTCAAACCTGATTTTCATCTCATAAAAGTAAATACCCTAACCAAACTAATCGGAAGGCAGGGTGAAATATGAAATAACTACTTTTTAGAAACCATTTTTATTTTATTATAGCGTAATAACATCTCTACGTTCCCTCCCTAAAAAAAAAAAATGGTAAAAATTATAGTAAAATGGTGTAACCGAATGTCACGGGGGAGGAAACAGAAATATTGCAAAATTATAGTGGCACTTGTTGGGTTTGAGTGAATTTGGTTTCAGGAAAAACGGAAATGACGGTTAGGTTAACATCAAAGTTTGGCATGTACAGGTGACAGCTAACGTAGTAATATTGTCATACGTAGGTAGTAAGTACCAGAATATTAACGAGGATAGAGCCTATGGTCTTTCAAATCCTTTTTTACACTAGTGACGTACGATGTGCGAATTTGACAGCAAGAAAATTCACAAAAACCTGAGAGCTCACCCATCCGGGAACTATAGTAACACCAATTTACGCTTGACTCTGTCACACGTTTGTAACCGATGCCAAACACCTCACCGCACCAGACCAACACACTTACTACCATTACCTACCTATATTATTCAGAAATTTCAACTMCTCTGTTTATTATTTTATTATAATAGGATTTATTCTTTGTGCCCGATATACGAAAATTGTATTTTAATTAACTAACCATAATATAATATAATGAAAATAATTTCCAAAGAGTTAATAATTACCTACAGATAAAATCTAATTTTAGTATTAACACCACATCATTTTTTTTACCACATACTAACCAGTTAATGAAAATAAAATAAATTTGTATTTTATTCTCATTCTGTTAAATGGAATACTATTTTAGTTATCTATTTTAATTTRTATATTACTGAAAATGTAATATTTATAACTGAAGGTTTATATGGAAATGGTGGTTGAAAAAGCATATGATATGTTTCAAGCAAGTACAATTGATTCACCGGACAAAATATTAGGCAAAATGGATACGTTAAATTTTGCTGGACGTGTTGAATTGAAAAAATGTGTCTGGTGGGCTAGAGAACAGTTTAATAATTGGAAGCAGACAACAACTGAAATAAATACGTAATTATGTATTCRCTTAAATTATAATTACTTATTAGTATTAATTATTAACATCARTTAAAAGTATATAAAGATAGTAAATTCCAAATTATTAAAAAGCATAACACGTTACTCGATATTTTTCTTGTACAAGAAAAATCTATAAATCATAAATACGTTTTTGTTAATAACTAAAACTTAATAAGTTACCATAACTAAGAAAAACTGATCAAAAATAATAAACATGTATTTTCATCCAAAKACATAATATTTACGTTCAAAATTGATKAATGAATATTTTTTTAAATTTTCTGAAATTAATTTATTATTTAAATACRTAACCATTATAGACTTAGCTGYCACTTAATAGGAATCAATCACACATTCAYTCGAGAGTAACTTATTCACTTCGAATTTTTCTCAGTCCCTCAAGACACTCTACATTCTATGTGTGAGCTATAGTTTATACTTTATAGGCTAGCAAAATAATACMTATATGTAATTTCACAAAAAAAATTCAAGAATAATGGATATTTTTTGTAATAGTTCTAAACTATGGCATACCAATAAATAACATGATAGAATAAATATAATAAACCATGAAATTATATAATACATTTTTCCGATGATATATTATACGAGTATCATTTTTAGATTGATGGGAATGAAA